TTGGGAGAGCACCATGTGAGCCCCTGTATGTGTACACACACACACACACACATACACACACACACACACACACACACACACACACACACACACACACACACACTGATTGTGGCTCGTGTTGAATCATTCTGGTACATCCTGACATAAAGACAATGTTATGTCCTGACATATTTGCTTCTTTTGTGTTTCATATCCCAACCTCAATAAGTAACATCACCTCTATAAGGATTTGTTGAAATTAGCATCACATTAGCATTTAAGCTTCAACTCAGCTGTAGTAATAACCCCCAGACAACCCCCCCCCCCCCCCCCCCCCCCCCACACACACACACACACACACACACACACACACAAACTCCGGCCAAAGTGAAGATCTGCGTTTTCTCCGTTTTGGGTGTCTGCGTGTGAACAGACAAAACCGGAGTTTTAAGGTCCGCAACGTCACTTTCCGCGACAAAAAATGCTGACATCACGTGTGCGACCTGTGTTTACACCACTAGCCGACAGCATGGATGCCTTCAGAGCTGCACTAGCTTTATCAATTGTCCAAGTGTTTTTTGCTTGTTTGTTTTTGCAAGCGGAATTACTGCTCCTTGCGGAAGACCACAGATGAAGGATGAGGTTAAGAACGGGGGAAGTACTGCCGCTTACAGGTCTGGCATGTCCTTAACAACGTATTTATCCGGGTACGTGTGGACAGAGTTTTTTTTTTTAAAGGAGGTGTTGTGGATGCAAGTTTTTGGAGGGGCGGATATTCGTTTAAAAAAAAAAACGACTACGTGTGGACTAGGCCTGAGATAATTTCCTCTCTGCCTTCAGTCTTTAAGCTGATCATTTCCAGTCCTTCAGTGAAGCCAATTTTGGGTTTTAAACTTAATCTTGTCCATACCGTCCGGTGACTTTCTCCGAGATGGCATCCATTTTGTGCACTAATACCGGTATCACAGCTATAACATTGTCCAGCTTACGAATCACCTCGAGTAACGTCCCAGTCTGAGAAGTATCCACACGGACGGTGCTTTCCACGGCTGCGGGTCACCCTCCAATCGCTCCCGTCCTCCCAAATTTCCAGAAAACCAGATATCCTCCCACTCCAATCAGGAGATCCAGTGATCATCAGACCAAATATCCACACGTCTTCGATGTCCTCAATGCACAGCTGGGAGAGGCATATGATCTTCCACTCCTTCCAGGAATCCAAAATATATCCCACCGGGTGTGTCCCCTGTGGACATGTGGGAGCACCCTGCTCCGTTCTCATTGTTGAAAAAATCTTATTGATCGCATTGAATGACCAGTTTATCAAATCCATGGTTAGTAAAAAATAGAGTTTTTCAGAAGAAATGCAGAGAAGCGCTCTGTGGACAGACAGGACAAAGAGCCTTGGGAAAAAAAGATAAGGGAGCGAAAGAGGGAAGCGTCTGTACTCCTCCAGTGCCAGAAGAAAAACATCAACAATCAATTGATGAATTGCTAACAAATTGACATGTTTATAAGATATGCCCAACTCAACCCAGTCAAATTTCAATGCCCTTTCAAAAGTGTTTGTAGGCTTAACACTCACCCGTCTCTGCATCTTTAACATACATTTGAAGGGAAACAGGTTTCTCCTCTGAGGTCCTTATTGGTTAAAAAATTAGCAAAGCAAATTATAAGTGAATATTCACTGTGTGACGTCCAGCAATCATCAGTTTAAGGTATAGTTTGACCTTTCAACATCTATTCAACATCTGGTCAAACAGGAGACACAAGACCGCATGTGTTCCCTTTAAATGAGCCTGCCTTCATACCAGCTGGAGCTCACAGACTCTGCAGCTCTGACAACAGATAACAACATGTAAACAATAACTTTCTTCCCCAAGGCCTCCACATAAGGAACACTCCAGCTTGGCTCAGTTGCCAAATTCAAGAATGATTTCCTAAATCAATATGAACTTCTTCCATGATTTATAATATAGATAATCATTAAATACATGTTTGTTTACTGCTACTTATAATAAATATATCATAATGAAATGCTTCATTAATTTGTGCTCAATGCTTGAAGTTTGAAATGAATGTTATGTCTACAATGACTGCAAAGTGGTTCCGCAAAGGTCATAACATTTGCACTCGCACCATGACAAGTAAGGTTACATTAAACTCTGACACATAAATAGTCTTTTACCCAGGCAGTTTCTGAGTTGTCTTGGTAACATCTCTCAAGCCTGTCAGCCTTTGATTGGCTGTGCAAATCATAACATCAAAACCTTAAAACTGGATCACTCTGTGTGATTCGGCAGTCCTAGAGAAAGCTTCAGACGGCCAGCCGAAGCACACCTCTTTAACCCATCAAAGATTTAGACACGTCGTCAAAACTTTTTTGCACCTGCAAAGCTGATGAACAACAGTTCCTGCAAAACAAGCTGATATTGCTTAGACTCCTTAAGAGTCTGCCAGACGCACTGTTCCTTCTTCTGTTGTGACCTAGAGACAACTCTTAAGACCGGTTTCATGGGGGCCGCAGTTTCTTCTACAGACCTCGGCGCCTGGAAGTCCGAGGACTTCGACATTGTGGATCTATCACGAGGGTCTCTGAGAACGGGTGAAGTAGACATGACAGATTGCGTCTGATGTGTCTTTGATAAGAACTTCATACTGTAGTTTATGCAACCCAAATTCTTTTACATCCAGAACTCAGCTTTCCTAGATAAGGAGGTTCTGACTAACACCGCATTGACACATAGGTTTATTCATCACATTTAGTTCCATCCACTCACAGTAAATGCTTAGTTAACTAGACATGTTTTAATTGTTTGTAAAATAAATTCTTACTTTTATAAACCTGACTCTTTTCTGAATCAAAACGAAGTGTGTACAATTACTTAATAAAGCAAAAACCCCAGAATCTTCTGATAAATACAATAAAGACCAAGCAGGGTGGATATTTTATATTTAAATAGAATATCACAGCTTACTGATCATAAGTATGTATCTAAGTATATTATAGTGTATCTATAAGTATGTGTGTGTATATATATATATATATACACACACACACACACATATATATATATATATAATCTTGAGCTCTTAAAGCGCTCAATTTGTCATTGCTACAACTGAAATACTCACTACAAAACAACATTTTGATTTCAGGTTTCAAATGTGATTGTGGCTCGTGTTGAATCATTCTGGTACATCCTGACATAAAGACAATGTTATGTCCTGACATATTTGCTTCTTTTGTGCTTCATATCCCAACCTTAATAAGTAACATCACCTCTATAAGGATTTGTTGAAATTAGCATCACATTAGCGTTTAAGCTTCAACTCAGCTGTAGTAATGACCCCCAGACAACCCTCCTTTGTTTAGTGTTAACCATGGATTACGCGTGTGCCCTCCCATCTGGTTCTTCACTAATGCCTTGTATTGAGAAACTGTGAGGGTCCTTGTGAGAGATGACCAAAGCTCAGTCACGGTTACAAGAATGTAGAAATCATTGTCCTTGATCACCAAATGTATCAGAAGTACTGTTTGACATATAGAATGTGTTTCCTTTTTAAGCATCAATGTATCTGGTGGATGGCAATCTGTAGCATATGATTTTATGACCACCTGTGAGAGGAACCTCTATTGTCTCTTGTCTAATTGGTCTTTGGCTCTACGACACTGACTAACAGCTAGATAAGATAACTATCTGCTGTTTTATAAAAATGAGGAAGTATTTTGAACAAAAGGTGTTCATTTCATTCATTCCTTCAAGAAAAAGCTACTAGAGCTGTGTTTTACAGAGATGCTTTAATGTGCATTTTTTGCGCTCTGTATAAGCCTCCATTATTTCTGAAAATGATGACAATGAGGCAACTGAATAAACAGAGATTAGGATCAGAAGCTGATTTGGAAAGAATCTGTTGATAGTGAATTCCCAAAAAGCTCTCATTATTTCACTGCTTAATTGGCCTTGCAGCAGCTTGGGCTGTAGCATTCACTGGATCCACCAGATGGAGACCTAATGAGCCTTTTTTGGGAAAAATACACAGATGGAGACAGTTTACTGTATGTAGCCAAACTATGTGTACCTTTCCAGCATGTGCATGCAAGCATAACCCTTTAACCCTTTTAAAACAGAATGCATTGATAAGCACTACATCTTTAAGCTGGTTTAAACTTGGTCCACGCTATATGTTTGATGCAGTGTCAAAGCCATGGTATCACTTTGTGATGAAGCCAGTGAAAGGGGGATCCTCAGTGACTTGTTATTCATACAGCCCTGTATGTAAAAACTGCATTTCGGAAAATCAACAAATAAGACAAACATTTGAGTCATCATTTTTAAGTTGCATAAAGAAGTATTACAGCATTTATTTATTTATGCTATGTCAACAAAAGAGGCACTTTAAAATGTGTTTATTAGTTTGTAGTCATAAATTACAAACATGCTTTAGTTTTCTATCTGTTTTAAATTTGCCCAAACTTAGCAAAAATGCACCGTGTGTAGCTGAAAATAAAAACATTGTTACCAAAAACACGATCAAGTGTAGAAAAATTAAACAAATATCTCATGTTTTTAGGATTCCTAAACTAATTAAGCACTCTGGGTATCACAAAAAAAAGGTTTTCTGGGTATGATAAAGTGTTGGGTATGTGCAAGGAAAGCTTATTGGATTCTGATGCTTACTATTCTGTGGACAAAAATATATTGCTAATGCCGAAGGGAAACTATTTGGTGTGCACTAAATATTTCCCTGTGGCAGCCAGGAAAGCCAAAAGTCCTTAAACTCAGAGTAAAAAATGTCTGCAGAAGAGTAACTATGGAAGATAAGACTAAAAAACAATGCTTGGCCACAAGAGAGTGAGCCCCATTAATGTTTCTCATGTACACAAAACAAAACCTAGGCATTTTTCAAAAGCAGCAGATTTGGGTTTATTAATAAAAGTATTATTATTATTATTATTATTATTATTATTATTATTATTATTATTATTATTATTAATTATAATTATAATAATAAAAAATTAAGATGAATTTTACTTACTATTTAATAAATTGAATTAATACAGGAAGATAACTACATCAATCACAATATAATAATGGTTGTGCCCAACTGCCAGCCATTCAGAAAACTATTGGTACAAAAACCACTGGTAGGTTTCATTTTAATGAAGATGGAGACTCGGAAACTGGGAAAAGAAACAAAATAAATGGCAAATAACATAAAGAAATTAGGACTGCACCTCATTTTATAGTCTAAAGTTTTAAAGGTGACAAATAAATGAATTTCAGCTGTAAAGCAAACATTCTAACTCACATTGTGTTATTATTTTAATACTAGTTTCTTAAAATTAAAAAAGTAAAAAGCCTCTGTGTGACCCTGGGCCAGACGACATATTCACATACCGTAAATCCTCTAATACAGGCCTGGGCACTTATTTACTCAAGTACACCTTGGTTCAGGCCTTTATTGGAAGGAGGCCAGAATTAGAGACAGGCCTCAATTTCAATTTGAGCAAAATAAACTACCATTAGAATGAATATAAACACAATGTTGTGTCTATTTGAACCTATAAAACACTAGGTTCGTTTATTGGAAATGTAGTTAACATTGTACGTTCTAATGCATATGGAACATTTACAACAATCACCATTTTTTCAGGGTCAAATCTCAGTATGGTAGTGAACATGCCACTAGTGCATTGTAAACACTTGGTGATAATTAGGTTATTGATTCACAGTCAACAGACACCCTTCCACTCCAAAATTTACCTGTTCTCTTTTGGTTTGAAGCAAAAAATAAATTTCTCCAACTGTTTAATCCTCATCCTCTGTGTTAACAGAGCCACTTTACCTTCAGCGGCTAGCGGTAATATCCAGGTGGATGGTGGCAAGTAGCAATATAAAACTCCCATCTCATTCGTTTTCCTTTTCTCACGGCTCCCAGCACTTTCCCCTCAGCTCCTTCTTAACAAACATCTCTGTCACTGCCACTCACTGTAACACTCATCCATTATTCTGCCAACAACTGGAAGGAAAGTGGGCCATCCCTTTATTAACTTCCCCACTGATTACACATTGGTGTCACCTGTGGACACAGTCTAATACTCCGCAGTTCCGCATTACAACCTGAGCTAACTGCTAAAAACATTAGCACTCTACAAGCTATTTGCGGTGACGACACAAGAAAACAGTATCAAACTGGTTACCTGTTGTTTTTGTAGCTGCATTTCTAAGCTATTCAATAAAACGCCAATAAAACCTTTAGTAAACCCCTACCTGTGATGAAATGATCACTGCATACAGTAGTATTTTCCGTTCCATTTCTGCTCATCTTGCAGCCAGAGATTATGATCCACGATTCCGTCTTCAGAAAGTTTCAGTAAGTCCTTTGTGGCGCCCTATTTTCTTTACACGTAAAAAATAAAATAATAAAACGCTTGTTTTTGTCCCGATCGCACGGAATTTGAGCATTTTTACACCCAGTCAACAAAGTAAATAAACCCTGGGGCACACTGGAGGCAATTATGAGAAACGAAGTGGTCACACAGGATGTGCCGCGCCACGCCACTGTGCGCTTCTTGGAAAGTCGCGCGATAGTCATAACATCATGCAGGACTTGAGAACAGAAAGCAGGAAGTGACTATTGTTTATACGTGATCACATTTGCCGTTGTGTTTTGAGAGACTCTAATTCATTAACAGTATGCTATGCTTTTTATTCAAATATTTTAAGATCAATAGTACTTTCAAGTTTTCAAAACTGCAGTTAAGTTTGTGTCGTGAAAAGGGCCACTATTAGAAACCGGCTTTTATTTACCTCCGCCAACAGCGAGACTGGCTACTGAAGGAGACCCGGCCAGTAATGGAATACAGGCCAATATTAGAAGACTTAAGGTATATAGGATAGCTTGCCAAGTTAAATGACTTGGCTCATATCTGTACGGTTTACTGCTTTCCTTTTCATGAAAATATTCTAAAACACCTTGTAGAGCACATGTGTCAGACACAAGGACAGCGGGCATTTTGATGTGGCCCGCACGATAAATATAAAAAATGTATTAAAACTGACCGACAGACCGATTTTACTGCAAAGACTACAACGTATGAGCATGAACAGCACTCAATATTTAGTTGGGGCTCATTTGACCTGGATTACTGCAGCAATGTGGCGTGGCATGCAGTAGATCAGGTGTTATGGAAAAGTCCATGTTGCTCTGATAGTGACCTTCAGCTCTTCTGAATTGTTGGGTCTGGCATGTTGCATTTTCCTCTTCACAATACCCATAGATTGTTCCTTTGTGTTTACAGTTCTTTAGAAAAGATGTGATGAAAGAAAATTTAACAAAAGAAATCTGTATGGGGCAACAATTGTTCACATCCCCATACTGTGCAACTTCTTTCTGGAAATTAGTTTCCACTGGAATGTTACATTTCCAGCAGTGCAAAGGCTCTTATAGCAGTATTGTCAGGAACTGCAGACACTTTTTAGATAAAATTTCTTTTAAGACACTTCGGAACTGTTTATGTTACAAAGTGCGACTAGCTCTTAGCTCATCTGGCCGATCAGAGCTAATCTGTTTCTCCAAACTGAGGTTCTTCCAAGAACGATCATTTAGTAATATAACTTCTTTATTGGTGGATGGTGTTATGAAATTATGGGATTTTAATTGATTGTGGTCGGTAACCGTATTGTGTTTTTGTCTTTTTAAATTGATTTGGAAAGGGACCCCAGGAAGACTGGCTATTGAAGGAGACACGGCCAGTAATGGAATACAGGCCAATATTAGAAGATTTACAGTATATAGGATAGCTTGCCAAGTTAAATGACTTGGCTCATATCTGTATGGTTTACTGCTTTCCTTTTCATGAAAATATTCTAAAACACCTTGTAGAGCACATGTGTCAGACACAAGGACAGCGGGCATTTTGATGTGGCCCGCACGATAAATATCAAAAATTTATTAAAACTGACCGACAGACCGATTTTACTGCAAAGACTACAACTCCCATGATGCTTTGCAGCGTTAGCGCGGAGCCGAAGCGCCCCCTCCTTCGTGTTTTTTCCAGAGTCTGCTGCCAGTGTCTGCAGCTCCGCTGTCTCGGACAAACTAAACACTCCTCTCACTCAACGCCGAGTTCACTCAGCTATTTGCCAACGTTGAAGCCCAGAAACGGAGATTTTAACCGCTCAGTAATGTGTTCACGACTGAAAGAGAAAGTGTTCCAACTAACTTCCAGACAGAGCTGACATAACTCCATCGAGCAGTGACACGCTCAATTCAGCATGACTCTGTGGCTGCTGTAGTTTTTATTTTGCCTCCCCGACACACAACAACGTGGTCAAGCTGCTCAGACATGTTCATCAGCACAAACCTATGTGATCACCAGTTGTCATCTAATGTTGTCATTATTATGATGAAGAGGAACAAAACAACAGGAGTCTCCTCCTCAGCTCAGAGCTCCTCAACCCCATGATGCAGGTATCTGGCTGGAACAGGTGAGCATCGCAGTAAATCAGTGGATCAAACTGAGCTTTACATATTTTGGTTTTATGCTCTTTTTCTGCTCCAAAAGATGAAAGTTAACAGGTGAGATGTTGCATTTTCATTTAAGATAAATTTATATTTTTATTTTGCTGTTGGCCCGTGAGAATAGATTTAACCTACAGTAAAACACGAACTGGAAGGGCTGCAGATAGATGAATAGAATAGAAAATCCCTTTATAGTTCCTCAGTGGGGAAAGCTAGATGTCACAGCAGCAATGACACTTATTAAAGACAAAAAAAGGAGAATAAAAATAAGAAAAATGAATAAACAACAGGAAAACATAAATCCTGAATAAATTTAAAAAATGCTGAATATACCACAAGTAATGAATACCACTGATGCATTTTATTTCAAATTGACTTGCTCGTGTGCAATTTGGTTATTCCATATTCAGTGTTAATGCAGAAATATGTTTGTTTCCAAATTAAAAGGTTCAAAATTGCATTTGTTGATAAAGAAAATGTGCAAATTTGTCGTCACTTTTTCAAAAAATATTAGGTTTGGGCCGCAACTTCATTCCCGATTTTCATTTCGGCCCAGTGTGAAATTGAGTTTGACAACCGTGTTGTAGTGTCTGAAATCAAAATATAATTGTGGAAAATGATAAATTTCTGAATTAAATACAATAAAAAATATTTAAAAATTACAGAAATAAGAAAGGGCAAATACTTTCCTACACATGAAAAAAAGCATGGTATTCCACAACAAAACTATTGGAACTATCCAGTAGCTATAAAGTATAACACATGCCCTTTGCCCTGTGTAACATTTATTATAAATACAAAGTTCACATAAATAAGGTCTGTAATCCCAAGCTCTGTGCAAGAGCTATGATTTCAGAATCTTTATGGATTTTTTGCACTTCACCAAACATATTTGTATGAGGTGAAGGTCTTTGCTGAAATTCTCAATATTTTGATTAAAGTTCACTTCTCCTCAATCCTAACAGACTGCTCCTTAAAGATTTCTTGAAAGGTGGAAAGATAAAAAATTATTTATGGCACATTCAGCTATAAAAAGAACTTGAAAGTTAATGTTCTAAATCTAACTTTTTCAAGGAAAAAGTTTCATGATATCTTACTACACATTCATATTCTTAAGTAGTTCATTTTTCTTATTACTAAATAGTGAACACTGCATTGATAATTAGGGACATTGTTTACTTGCGATTATGGATGTTAACCACATTTCTGATTAAACCAAATAAATTGCTTTATACAATAAATATTTGTTGCCCATATGTCTCATGAGTGTGCCATATTATATTTCTTTCAAGGAGGAAAGAATATGAAAAGGTCTGTAAAATGTCATTTTAAAAGAAGTTCTTAAAACTTAAAAAAATCACCTCTAACCCTCCATGTCTCAATGCTTTTTCCAATAAATATGAAAGTTTTTCTTTTCAATAATACAAATCTGTGTGTCATGATCCTGCCATGTCCTGACCTCCATGCTACCACCATCCACCTCCTCAGCCTGCTAGTAGATCTTTCAGCCTTTTCATCCTGCCTGATCATTGTCTACCGACCTCGTTTCATGCCTGACCCTCACCAAAAAGTCTGTCTGCCTCCACGACCTACGCCTGTCCACGACCACGTCATGTACCTACCTTGTTCTGATCCACGTCTGTCTTCGATTACGTCTCTCGCCTGTTCCTCGTATCTGCTTCGTCTCAACCTGATTCTGATCCACGTCTGTTCTTGACCACGTCTCTCACCTGCGCCTCAAAGCTGCTTCATCTCTGCCTGGGTCTGACCCACGTCTGTCCTAGACTCTGCCTTGTCCTGAACTCCACTCCGGTAAGATCTCCTCTTAGCTTCAGGCTAATAAAGACTGTTTACTACCACCTACTGTGCTCTGGTGTCCGTACGGTCCTCTGCCAAGGTCACGACAGAACAATCTGGCCACCATTGACTCAACGCCGACACAGGAATGGCAACATGGAGTTGAGACAGCCATTTCTGGCTTGGAATCCAAACTCAACGGATTGCTGGAGCTACTCTGATCCAACGCTCAGGCAAGCCATGTGACCCATGCTCCAGCGGCTTCCGCCCAACCAGTTCAGTTCTGGGTTTCACCTGTCCACAAGGTTCCATCTGAAGTGCTTAAGGAGGATCCTCAACAATGTCTACCCATTTTCACACAATGTGAAATGCACTTCCAACTCCAACCCTCCTCTTTTCCTACAGACAGATCCAAAGTGGCTTATGTGATATATTTATTATCAGACCAAGCCATGGTGTGGGGAACAGCTGCTTGGGCTAATGACACACACATCTGCTACCAGTACCAGTCTTTTGCTGACAAGGGTTTTTAACCCAATCCTGCCAAGCCGTGAATCTTCCAGAAAACTTTTATCTTTGGAACAGGGAACCCGGAGAGTGACTGATTACATCAGGAATTTCCACGCCATTTCTGCTGACAGCCCATGGAATGATGCAGCACTCATGGACGTCTTCTACTATGGTCTCTCAGATAAGATTAAGAATGAACTGGCGACCCGAGACCTACCAGTTACCTTGGCGGAGCTTGAAGATCTCGCCACCCGCATCGATCTCCGCCTGACGGAAAGAGGGAGAGACAAGATCAGAAGACCACCATGTATTCCTAATCCTCAACCAACCTCCTATGATGAACCAATGCAAATTGGGCTAACCAAGTTGTCGGTAGAACAGAGGAACGGACGACAAACTCACAATCTGTGCTTTTATTGTGGAGGTTCTGGCCATGCTGCTCGCACATGTCCAGTAAAAAAGCTGACCCGATAGGATCCCCCTATTGGATCGTACTAAACCCAAGTTTCCTGCACGACCCTTCACATCGGCAGTATTTTCCCACACTGACCAGGAACATACCTGTCCTATTTTTATCGACTCTGGTGCAGACATCAACTTCGTAGACATTACTTTTGCCACCTCTATTGGACTTTGTCTGCATCCCATGACCCAGATACAAGAGGTCCAAGCCATTGTTGGACACATTATTCATCGAGCCACCCAGGAAACCGACCCTGTCACCATGAAAGTCAACGGCAACCACGTGGAGGTTCTACGCTTCATGGCCATCCAGTCCCCTGATATTCCCATCTTCCTGGGATTCTCATGGCTCCAGACCCACAACCCCCCTATAGACTGACATAAAGGGGAAATTCTTGGATGGTCAGACCTGTGCCTCTCGCAATGTCTGTCCAACGCCTCGCCTTGTATCCCTGATTTGCCAGACCCCACGGTAAACTACCCTGGCCTCTCCAAGGTGCCCATCAACTATCACAATCTCAAAGAAGCCTTTAGTAAACTTTGAGGTACCAGACTGCCGCCTCATCGCCCCTACGACTGCCCCATCGACTTACTACCTGGAACCAAGCCACCTAAAGGACATCTGTTTCCCCTGTCTTTCACCAAACAAGAAGCTATGAAAAAGTATATCCATGAGTTGCTACAATCTGGGATAATCTGCCCCTCCTCATCCCCATTCGGAGCATGTTTCTTTTTTGTGGGGAAAAAAGATGGTTCCTTAACTTAACAACACTGTGAAGAATCGCTATCCACTTCCCCTCATCAACTCTGCCCTCGACTCCATCCAAGGGTCCCGGATCTTCACCAAGCTCGACTTATGCAATGCTTACCACCTTGTCAGAATCAGAGAAGGCAACGAATGGGAAATGGCATTCAATACCCAAAATGGGCATTACGAATACCTTGTAATGCCATTTGGCCTCGCCAATGCCCCTGCAGTTTTCCAAGCTTAGATAAATGACGCCCTTTGTGACATGGTGTGGAAATTTGTTTTCGTCTACCTCGATGATGCCCTTGTTTTCTCTCCAGACCCTGAAACTCACAATAAGCATGCCCGATCTGTCATCCCCCGGCTACTACAAAATAATCTCTTCATTAAAGCTGAAAAATGTGAGTTCCACAAAGATGATGGGTGTGTCCGAATCCACAGGAAGGATGCTTATGAGTATGGGTCCTCGCCGTTCTAGCAAGGCCGGGTCCTTGAAGACCGCTAAAAACGGAAGTCAGCGACTCTGAATTCGAACAGTCTAGCCTTCACCTCTACGGTGACTCGTAGGTCCCGTCACAGCCGTGGCGGCAGCTACACGCAAAGGAAAAATGCTAAAGCTAGCGAAAATCGAGCAGGAATATTAAGGAGCTACAGCACCTTTACCTCCGCCAGCAGCGTTTGTTCACAACCGTTTTCAGGTGAAGTAACTTTGTTTATTCTAGAAGCTTTCAGGACTTACATGTTAACTTTAGATGGTTTCTTGTATATTTTAAGCTACAGAATGAACTTGTTAAACACACACAACACATTTCTACAGAGTATTATCACGTAGGTAATTAATATAAACCAAATGCATTATCGACAGGCGGATTGGTTCGGCATCTGCAGTGATGCGGACGCTGAGCTGATCTGTCATGGTGAAGAGGGAGCTGAGCCAGAAAGCCAGGCTCTCGATTTACCGGTCGATCTACATCCCAATCCTCACCTATGGTCATGAGCTTTGGGTAATGACCGAAAGAACAAGATCGCGGATACAAGCGGCCAAAATGAGTTTCCTCCGTAGGGTGGCTGGGCTCAGCCTTAGACAGAGGTGGAAAGGGTACTA